TCAGGCTGGTCTCAAATTCCTGGGCTCAAGCGATCCTCCCGCCTCAGCCTCCTAAAATGCTGGGTTACAGGTGTTAGCCACTGCACCTGGCCAATATTAACATCTTGACAGAGCTTGGGTAGAGCATTTTGTGGGAGATCAGTGCTGAGGAAGTCAGTTTCTAGAAGGGTCTGGGGGCTTCGTTGGAGTCCTCAGCTGCCACAGCAAACAGCACCCTTAACCTCAGCTCACACCAGTGAAGCTATGGTGTGTACAAGGGGCATCTACTGGTAACGTCTGGATCAGAAACGAATCTGTCTACTCACCTGAAAAAATGTCCCTGAAACCAAGGGTAAGTTGATGTGATTACTTCATATGAAAAGAACAGTGCCTGCTTATTTGGGGCTTCGAAGAGAATCACATTCCTCATTGATTCTCACAAATACTCTGGTGGCCTCGGAATTGTCTAGGTCGTGTCAGAGGTTACACTCTGGTCGTTTGGGGTGGGGTTGTGAGGGGTCAAGGCAGCCTGAAGACACATTTGGTCGGCCTCAACAGCACTGGAAACAATTTTTTTGCTCCAAATCATCATCCAAAAACAATTTTTGAAAATTAGCTGCCAACATTAAAGAAAACATTTTATATGAAAATCCAGATTCCCAACTTCTCTTGAAAAATATGAATACCCAGTAACCTTCCCTGCCTCCCTAAAGCAATAATTATACAATTGTGTGGAGAGATGACTGGCTCCTTGAGACCACGGCTCCGGTCTCTCTATTGAATTGTACTCAGCATTCTTGGGAAAAGTCTGGGAAGAAGGTAATAAAGTTTTAAAAACAATTTGCAATATTTCAAAACCCCTGAGGGGAACCACATACCTTCTTGTGACAAGGTGGCTAAGGCCAACTACCACCTCAAGTGACTCTGCATTAAGCAAATGCTAAGTAGAAGGGCACACGAGCTACCTCACATCAAGTAGGGTCTGCATTAGCAGTGAACAATGTCTTTAATTAATAAAAACATAGAAAGAAAAAGAAAAAAAAAAACCCAGCCTGTTCACACGTATTGTTTTTTAAAACATGATGCCCACGAGGTCAAATAATTCAACAGTCCTTGCACAGGGAGAATAGAGACCACAGATTCATATGGGGCCAGCTCACTTTCAATTGGTTGGAGCGAAGGAAGAGTCCCAGAGGGGTGGAGGGTGGGCAGGGGTCCAACCCTGAAGCCTCTTTTCTTGGTCTAGGGTGGCACTCACTCCCATCATCTATCTGTTCCCTTGGGAGCCTGTCATCCCGCAAGCTGCCCAAGTTTCAGAATCTGCAGGGATCAGAGGCTGCGAGCCCCATCTGGCCACATGGGGGCACCCTGGCTCCACACACTGGATTCCAAGACCCAGCAGGCACTGGCACAGGTGCTGGGGCTGGAGGGAGAGCGCCCTTTCTGCAGCCTGGCAGTTCAAGGGTTAAGGCTCATGGTGCTGGGTACCACAGCACCTTCCATCCCCGATTCAGGGTCATGCTGCCTAGGGGTAGCTCACGTTACTGTTTTTAACAGAGTCTGGTAGGGACTCCTCCCGCCCTGGGGGAGGGATTGACACTAGGAAACCCGAAGATGTCCCTGGAAGGACATGGACTCAGAAGCCGGAGACAGAGCACAGGCTGCCTAACTTTGCTCCAGAGAGCGCAGGGCACGGAGGGTACGCAGACTAAACCGATGCTTTGGCTTCTCTACAGAAGGTTTAAAGACTCCTAGAAGCTCTTTTAAGAGAGAAAGAGACAGAGGTAGTGAGAGAAAGATACTAAGAGACAGAGAGACAGAGTCAGAGGGAGGGAGGGAGAACAAGAGAACAAGAGAGAAAGAAATCAGACCCCGCCTGGTTTGGGACAAATAGAAACCCCAGCGCAGGCCAACAATGTGCAGCAGCGTGACCGGCAGACCTGGGGCTGCAGATGCTGGTTCACACCCTGGCGCAAGCTCTCTGGACTTGAACTGTTATTTTGCTTCTCTGAGCCCCACTCTTCCTCCCTGTAGAATGCA